AGCCTGTCTAAGTAATGTCTAACTGCAGGGTAGATGAAATAATAAAGGACTCCGCTTGCGGGTTGAAACTAAAAGTAACCAACTCTAAGGAATTTCATGTCACTTTAAGAATGAATCGGAACTCTTCATTCAAACATCCCCTTCTCTGACCGACTGCCAATCCGTGGCCACTTCCTCTCTCATAACCCTCCAATGGAAGCGCTCCACGAAGGTAGCGTCGTGGGGACATCGCTTCAGAAGAGACCAAAGTTAAGTGACAGCACAGACTGACCAATGGAATCCAAGAGCGACTCTATGGGCGGGGTTTCCGTGCCCCTCTGAATCAATGGGGTAAGGAGTCTCTCAGCGTTAGAGGCGGGGCTTGTGTTAGGGGAGAGAAGAGGCGAGTGGGTAGCGGCGGCACCGCTCTGAAAGCGACCACGTGATAAAAGGCACTTGGGGCGCCTGGAGTTCTTTGCTCGGTGGGAGCGCGGGTAAGGTGAGTTAGGGCTCGCCCGTCTCTGTCAGGAGCCGGACAGGCGTCTTCCTCGCAGGGCCTTGGGCTCCTGCTTGCTTCTCTGTCGTGTGCGGGGAGCGGTGGGGGGCTGGGACTTGCAGCGGCCAAGGCGGGCGCCTTGGCTGAGGGAGGGAAAAAGGCGACGGGTGGAAAAAGAGCCCGCCGGTGGCGAGTCGAGAACTCCTGAAGAGATTCCGAGACTTGGGGGGGGGGGGGGGGGGGTCTGATAACGGGGTCGAGGGCCTAAGGCCCCTTTGACCCCGTGAGGCCTAAGCGGAGGAATTGAATGAGGACAGTCATTCCCGTCACTTCTTTCTTTTTCTTCTTTTTTTTCGCTCGACCCAGAAGGAACGGAGGGGCTATGGGTGCGGAGCTCAGGCCTCCTGGAGAAGTGGGAAGGTCCCCTTCTGTCCTCGGGCCTGTGGGGCTGGTGTGAACTGCTGGTGAGGACCACATGCGTGTAAATGACTTTGCATTTGCAGTCGTGGGTGTGTTACGAATTGCCGCCGTTAAAGGAGAGGAGGTGTCTCTGCAGGCCGAGGGACCCTGTAAAGCGGTTTGGGCAGAGGGAACCCTAAAGTAGGGAGGATATCCGGACACGGATAGCCGTAAGGTGTAGGTAACGTTCCCTGGGGTGAGAGGAAGCCCTCCTGACCCGTTGGAGTCTGAAAATATGAGTGGCTTTATACGGAAGTTTGCTCTGTCATGAGGTGAAAAGGAGAATGAGTGAATTTGGCCCAGGGCGTGCGCAGTAGATGGGAGCATTTGAGGGAAAGAAGCGGAAAACTGATATTGTATTTTCATGGTATCTTTTATTGTGACTTGTGAAAATTGTATAATGCGGCGTTGTTTTAGTACTGAGATCAAGATCTGCATCAAAAGTGGGTTCTCTGCCTGTGCAGCTCTGAGAAAAGTGGAAAGAAATACGTCTTTTTTCCCAATTTGATGTGAATTGGCCTTTTGCCAGTTAGGACTTAATAACACAAATATATAATTTTCACACAATATGGGTAAATTAAAATTTGGGTTTGTGTTCCAGAGAATCTAGAGGGCCCCAGGGTGAGAAAAGTTGATCTGAAAAACCAATATGATTCCGCAGGTTGAAGGTTAACTTGTGAGTATAGGATATAGATGTTGTAATGAGTTAACAAACTTTGAACTTCAAAAGGATAATGGTCCCAAGAATGAGGAAATACCTCTGTGTATTTGAAAGTAGCAGCTTATTTAAAATCTGCAAGTCAGGCATATAGCCTTCCATAATTTAATGTGTCATTTTCCTTGTGCTTGTCTCAAGTTATAAACACATTTTTACATCAAAAGTGATGTTTGAGTGCTGTAAAAACTCTTACAGAAATAAATGGAATGACACTGAATTGGAAATGACAATTCAGTATATAAGAAATATCTATGTGATGTCTTAAATGTGATTGGCAGTTTAATTTGGTAAAAGATTTTATAATTACTGTACTGGGTATTGTGTTTCAAAATTACAGAATAGTATACAGGCATTCCTGTTCATGTTGAAACAAATTTTTTGTTCATATTTCATGATTTAATGTAATCTTTAATTTTATTACATGAATAAATGATTTTTAAGTTTTTTGAATACAGACAAATGTGTGTCCTAGCAGGTGTTTGGCCCCTTGACTAGGTAAAAATGCCATATTTATATATGTTTTTAATAGGTGGAGTTTGTACTTTGTTGTACCCTGTTCAAAATCCACGACATATAAATATTTTTAAAAATACTGTATGTAGCAAAATGAACATTTTGTTTATTGGTTAAAGGCACAACTTGTGGGAGGGAAGCATTTAAGTCTTTGAACATCTACATTTTTCAAAACAGCATTTTTGGGTACTTGTATTTAGTAAACATTTAATCACTAAATATGATTAATACAAATGAAAGGTTACAAAGTAACAAAATACAGTAAGTGAAATGACTTTTGCATTCCCTCAATCTGTTATTTAGAACAACAGCTCTTGATCATATCAAAAGTTATTATGGCTAAGCTATTGCTTGCTTCCTTGGCAGCCCCAGGAAAGTGCTGCCTGTGTCTGCAGAGATAAAGGCAATCTTCAGAGGACTTGCATGAGTTTTCCAAAGGATATAGATATTTTAATGTTTAAGAAGAAAGACTTTTTATGCTAATGGGATCTGCAAAGCAGTTTTTTAAATGACCTAATAGTGATATTTGGTAACTTGCTCACTTGTTTGGGTAGTAGTGTTTGAATGTACTGGTAGCTAAATAATAGGACAGTGCAACACTTCAGATTGGAAGGCACAAAACTGCTTCTGAAGATATGATGGATATCAATGTAGTATTTCTTTGCAGCCGTTTAAATTAAGACTTGGAGTCACAGGAGAAAGATGGGCTGTTATTAAAGAGTTCCACATAGGCATTATGTTCAAGCCTCTGCACAAATTAATGCATCCTTTAGTTTTCTAGTCCAAAGTGCAGCATAGTTGTGCTAAATATAGACAATATGCCAAAGGATCCTCATCCAATCTCATTTCACTTTAATTGTTTACCTTCTGGATTTCAATAACAAATGTGATCTTAAAAGTGGAAGAAGTTTAATTATTTGAATATGCTGATACAACAGTGTAATCCTTTATTTTTTTTAAAAAAAATCCTCATTTTCACCCCTTTAAAACAGTATAAATTTCTAGTATTGCAATTTACAGCTGGTTCTCAGGTTACAAAGACTGTTGGAACAGCAATCCGTCACTAAGTGATGCAGTTGTAAACATAACATCAAATGATTGCATTGCTTAGTGATAACAGTCCCAGTTACCATTGTAACCATAGGACTGCATGGATCATTAAGCGGAAAGAGGCTGGAGTCCCAGGCAAGGAGTACAGGATGTGTGTGGGTGCTGCAGGCTTTTATCATGGGTGAGTGCTGTAGAGTGCAGGTGGGTGCTAAGGAACGCAGGAGGGTCATGGGCAGAAGTTGCTGTAGGCAGGGTTTGCTGTGGAATATAAGTGCCCTGGGATGTTTTAGGGGGATATTTCAGGAGTGACTTGTAATCTTCCCATCTGGCGTCCCCATTGAATTTGTGTAATTCAGCAGGGAAGGTCACAAATGGCAATCATGTGACCAGGGGATACCACTACTGTTGTGTGATTTATTTGCCAAGTACACCAATCACATGACCACAGGGATATGCGATGGCTGGAACTTTGAGGAGCAGTCGTAATCTACACTCATTCAGTGCCGTCATCACTTGAACGCTCATTGAACAAATGTTTGTAATCTAAGGGACTACCTGTATGTGAAAGACAGTAATCAACTCAATTTCAATAAGAGTTCTTACTGTTTTTCAATCATGCCAAAGTTTCTACTCTCCTTTTTACTCACACTACCCATAACACAACATTACTCCTAACATTAAACATTTGCATAATATTTCTGTAAGTATTCTCAAAATAGGCAGTTGCTTTGATCTTTTCAATAGCTTTGATCTGTTAACATTTAACACTGATAATTAGGTGATAATTTGAAAAAAATCTTATCTGCTTGGTAAAATTCTATTTACAAGTTGCTAAAACGAGCATTTATTACATATTTTTTAAAGAATGGTTTGTATGGTTTCTGTAAAGAAACCTGCAAAGATGTCAAACTCACGTCCCGGTGGCGTCACATGACGTATCTGGACTTTTTTCCCCTTTGCTAAACCGGGCGGGGCCAGCACGTGACGCATCCAGACTGTGGCCCGTGAGTTTGACACCCCTGCTCTAAAGAAGACAAAAATGGCAATAATGTAAAATTAAGCACCTTTTTACATTTTATTTAAAAAAATTTAAAATGGCAGACAAAAGAAAAAGTGAGAAATGCTATAATGTATGGAAAAAATGAGTAAATAATCAAAGCTTACAGTTACTATAAAATTTAAAATTTTGACAGAAAAGATGACATTGCTGAACAGCAGGAGCTTCTCTTTGTATGCATATAATTGATAACTTCTTCATAAATTACATTAAGATTTAAAATATAGTAGGCAATTGAGTAATGTATAACATCTGTGGCTGTATATTTTCAATCCTTCATATCTAGTTGTTTCCCTAAATTATGCTACCTTCCTTAAACAAATTTAAGATTAGAAGGTAGAGTTTTCTGAAAAGATTGAATACTATAAATATATCTATCCAACAATTGTTAACCTCCTAGTATCATAGGAAAACATCCATGAAAGTATGAAAGCCATGTTTCCTATTTTTCTTACATTCAAATGTTATTATCAATCCTTGCCTAGAAAGAACGGGTACCATGGACAATACAAGGTGAAATACCAGCAGCACACCTAATTTGGTGTGTGAATTTTTTGTTACAATAATCAACATTAAAGCAATTTACTGTAACCAGGCCATGGTGCATGCCTTGTATTTGTAAAGGTTGGGTTTAGGATTAAGTAAGTCAAGCAAAAGGTCATAGTCTTGGCAGTCATACTGCATTTTATTGATAAATTTAACACTCTCTTCTCTCTTTGTCATAGATCATGAAGCGAAAGTGCTTGCTATTTGCATTATTGCTGATAGCTGGAACATCCAGTCTCCTGGCACATGACAGTCATGATCACGATCATGATCATGATGATGAAGATGTAATAGATATAGAAGATGACTTGGATAATGGTGCTGAAGAAGAAGAATTAAAGCATGAAACCAGTACTCCTCCATTACCTAAGGTTTGATTAAATATTTTTCCAGTTTAAAATATCAGCAAAAGCTACAAAAAAGAAAACCCAGCTTTGTCTTGGAAAATTAGAAATAAGCTTGCATTTTTTAGTATTTTATATAAGATTTAATGAAGGATTAGGAAACAGCATGCATAATTTGAGGTTTTTCCATGCAATCAAATCATACAACATTGGGTCCCCTCACAGGATGTTGTACAAGTTCTTAATGTGAGATTGCATTATAGCATCTATTCTTAAAAAGATCTCTAATGTCTATTTTCAAACCAAAGGAACATCAGTGTTCCATTATCATTCAAAAGATAGAACTCTCCTTCTGAATCATACATTTAAAGATTGAAGTTATGTGGTGTGTGTGTGTATTTAAATTATTCAGAATATCATCTAACATTTAATTTATTTCTTCAGGTTACCTATACAGCTCCAGTACCAACAGGAGAAGTTTATTTTGCTGAAAACTTTGATAAAGGAACTTTAGAAGGGTAAGCATTCATCTAAAAAAGTACTAGTAGATATACATCAGGAAAACTTGAATTAAAAAATATTTTTAAACATTTTTATGAATCAATCAATTCATAAATCAAACAGATGAAATCAGTGCAACTAAAATACCTGATATAGAGTACATCTGATAACAGTTGATAAAATGGATCATATAGAAAGAAGAAAAATACATTTATGAAGAAATGGCTTGTTGAGTAATATCTTAGTGAAGAGTGACTTTCCAGAAAGAACATTCCAGTCCAGTTACTAAAATGAAAATGGCTCTTATTCATGCTTACCAAACTTTTGTCATTAATTGCATAAATAATTTGGTAAATTACTTCTTTAATTATAGGAGATTATAGTCTCTTTTAAGTAACTTGAGTTGAAGTTTGGCAGCACACGTTTACTGTATTTTGAAATGTATCAATTGCAATGGCATGAAACCAGAGTTAATCTTTTCTGCCATAACATCTGCCATCTTATTTAAGTTTTTTTTGTAATTTTTTAGATTTGTTCTTAATTGTTCTATTGTATACCACCCAAATCAAAGTTGTGAGATGAGTAGCTATATAAAATTGAAAAATAAATTCTCCTTTCTCTACAATGCCTTCATATAAACTTTTTAAAAATATTTTAGGTGGTTTCTTTCTAAAGCCAAGAAGGATGATACGGATGATGAGATTGCCAAATATGATGGTTTGTATGACATCTTACTCTTCATATAGGAAGTTTCATTGCAATATGTTTTTTACAGAAATAGTATTTTATTAGAATGGATTATTCAGTTATATAAGGCTCAATTTGTGATCTGTGCAGCTCTGATACAAATTTATTTCCTTAGTGTAAGCTAAATCAGAGTTCTGTTAAAGCATTTAAACCTAGTCTAGATGTTTATTAGAAAATCTATTTGGCCAATTACCAAAGTATTTGTTTATGTACTTTTTTTGAGGTAGTTTTTCCCCCTAGTAAGACTATTTTTGTCCTACATTTTATATAAAATTATACTAAAAGTGATGGTTATTGCACTCGTTAAAAATGATTCCATGAAAGTAGAATACAAGCATAATTTTTCACAAGTATCCAGATTAATAATTCCAACAAAATCATCATGTGACTTTACAAAAAGCAGTTATGAACAGATAACTATGCCTAGTTCTTACATAAATGTATTGATATTCAGTAGCTTCTAATAATACAAAAACCATAATTTTATCAAAGGAAAAGCTACTGTCTGCAAAAGGTATTGCTGGTAAGGTCTTTTATTTTAATTTTTTATTTTTAAAAACAAACATACACCTACAAAACACAAAACCATTTTCCATTTTATATACATATAACGTGTCAGTTGGTTACATATCTTTTGTGCTATCCTTTTGTAGTCATTTACTCACAATTTATATCAGTCTTCACATTGTCGAACTAACATATGCTTATGTATTTATCAGTTATTAATCATCCATGACTAAACTATTTATTCCATCATTTTATATGAGATGTTCCAAGTTTTATATTAAGGTCTTCTGAAGGAAAAGAGGAGCATTCCATGCAAGCACATTATGATAACTGTGAAGAGTTTGAAAAATGTTGTGTTTGACATATCTCCATCATATTTGATATGGAAACAAAAGAGCAAAGTTGTGTTGTTTCTGTCTTATTTCTATAGGCAAATGGGAGGTACAGGAAATGAAGGATACTAAACTTCCTGGGGATAAAGGACTTGTGTTGATTTCACGGGCCAAACATCATGCAATTTCAGCCAAACTTAATAAGCCTTTTATCTTTGACACCAAGCCTCTCATTGTACAGTAAGTATGTTTTGCTGTCTTTTTCACTGAGCCACCAATACTATACCCAATGCATCAACAATAGATAAGAGCTTACAATGTAATTTAGAGCCACGTTGGTCTAGTGGTTAAGTCACCAGGCTAGAAACCAGAAGACTGGGTTCTAGTCCCACCTTAGACATGAAAACTAACGGTGACTTTGGACCAGTCACACTCAATTTAACACCTTACAGAGCTATTGTTGTGGGGAAAATAGGAGGTGAAATAGGGTTAGATATATTTGCCACCTTGCATTATTTATAAAAATAATAAAGGCGGGATTTAAAAAATCTTAAAATATTTAGTTTTTCATTGTTGGTATATACGTATCATACTATTTTACATGATAGAATTGGAAATTGGGAGAGAGAAAGAGAAAGTAAATGTAATTTTTTTAGAGAGATACCTAGGAGGGAATTGACAGGAGGGAAGAAAGCAAATGAAAATTTAAGCTTTGATGGTCAAATGTTAATGTAGTGGCGTGTGAAATAATTTCTAATAGGAATTTTAAAAAACAAAACAAAAAGACTCGACTGTAACCTCTTATGTTGCAAACTTAGGTATGAAGTCAACTTCCAAAATGGAATTGAATGTGGTGGTGCATATGTGAAACTGCTTTCTAAATTTAATGATTTAAACTTGGTGAGTATTGTTAATCTTCTAATTTTGAGATTTTAATGTTTATTTGTTTGGATTACGCTCTAGCAAATCATCTTATTTCTTTAACAAGATGATTGCATGTTAAGTTTACTGAACACTTAAGTACTGTTTATCATAAATCCCATTATTTGAATGATATTCAGGTTACATATGCAATTTTTGTGAAAATTTCTAAGAAATGAAAACTATTGTTCGTTAGTTGGAATATCATTCTTTTTTTATCTGGGTACTTGTGGCTTATTTTGCGCTAAAAAGGGCATCCTAACAAAGGGTTCTCTCTTCTCTCCCCCTCCCCCCCTTGTATTGACTTTAATCTGTTAGCTGAGAGATAGTTGGTAGGCTCAATTAAACTCATAATTAGGTGTTCAGTAAAGCGTAAAATGAAAGCTTTGTTAAAAGTTAATTTATGTTTTGAAGGTTTTCCAATCTATCTTTCATAGGACCAATTTCATGATAAGACTCCATACACAATCATGTTTGGTCCAGACAAGTGTGGTGAAGATTACAAGTTACACTTCATTTTCCGCCATAAGAATCCAAAGACTGGCCAGTATGAGGAGAAACATGCCAAACGCCCTGAGGCAGATTTAAAGAATTTTTTTACTGATAAGAAGACACATCTTTATACGCTTGGTAAAGCAGATACATATTTGGATACTTTTGTGGGTAAAATTGTAATACAGTAATTATTGAAGGCAAGAGGAAGCATTTTCAACTATGGTATAGTGAATAAAGAAAGTGACCTTGATGAAAAATGCAAAAAATGTTACTTATGAAAAAAGGAATGAAACAATTTTAATGACTGAGAAACTCAGGCAACGACCTCTCTGATTCACAGGCATATAAGAAGTATAATACAGTCAGACTTACACAGTTCTGTTATGGCTCATCTCAATAAAGCTAGTTTTTGCCTTCATGGAGAGTTGATTTCCTACTTTGGTTTATCAGTGGGCTTATCGTATGGACTGTATTGTAGAGAATAACTTTTTTATATTCCCATGATTCTTACAAAGAACTCTTATTTGGCAGAACTGGTTTTTGATATGAAGAACTGGGGATTCTAATAGATTACAGGTGGTTCTCAATTTACAACCACAATTAAGCCCAATATTTCCATTGCTAAGCAAGGCAGTTGTTAAGTGAGTTTTGCCACAGTGCTTAGCAAACCATTTTATAACCTTTTTTCCACAGTTGTTAAGCAAATCACTGCAATTATTAAGTGAGTCATGTGGTCATTAAGCAAATCTGGCTTCCCACATTGACTTTGCTTGTTGGAAACTGGTTGGAAAAGTTAAAATGATGATCACATGACCAGGGGACAGTGTAGCTGTCATAAATACATGCCAGTTGCCAAGTGCCCAAATTTAATCATGCCACCATGGGGATGTTGCAATGGCCATAAATGTGAAAACTGATCATAACTCAATTTTAACGTCTAACAGTCACTAAACAACTTGTAAGTCAAGGACTATCTATATATGGTTTCCATTAATATTTGACTAGTCTAGGAAACCAAAATATTGCTTGCTTAAATTTGGGTGAAGTATTTTTTAATGCTGCATTCTGTTTGTTATAGAGATCCCTTCACAAAGCCATATAAATAGGAAGGCAGTAGACCAAAAGATAATGGTAGATTTTTGGAGCTCATTTTATCTTTATATTTCTGGATTTTTATCATAGTCTTGAATCCAGACAACAGCTTTGAAGTTTTGATTGATCAAACTGTTGTAAACAGTGGGAATCTATTATCTGATATGACGCCTCCTGTGAATCCTCCACGTGAGATAGAGGACCCAAATGATCAGAAGCCAGAAGATTGGGATGAGAGAGCTAAGATTCCAGATCCGGATGCTGTTAAACCAGATGATTGGTAAGTACTTGTTGATGACCCTTCTAAAGTGGGCATCTATCTGATTTTGATTATAGAAGGATGAAAGAAGGTGGGACTGGAGCTCCTTTTTTGTTGCATAATCTCTTCTATAATAGCTCTGTTCTGTATATATTATATTATGGAACGGGAGGCAATCCCACCGTGTACTAATTGATAGACCTGCTTAATGGTTTCATTAGTGAGATGCACTGAGCCCAGCTTTATCCTGAAATCTGGGAAAGACATGGAGTTTTGGTAGGATGAGAATGTTACGGTTGTGATTTTACATTTTACCATGAATTTTGTCATCAGCACTGTTGTGTTTTCCCTTTGTTCAGGGCATTAGCAAGCAAGCTGAATTTTTTTCAGAAATGTTCTTATATATATATATATTGCCTTGTAGTCCTTGCTGTAGTGAAAGTAAAGGGAATAAAAATATTGAGTGTTGAAGCTAGGGAGTCCTGTCAATTCAATAACTTATTACATTTTTTAAAATTTAAATTTATATGGCTACTAATTGGAAGCAAATAATTGGACAGGTCACAGGACAAAATGATAAAACAAATACATATGTAAAGAAACATTGTAAATATGGAATTCAAAAATCAAGCTACCTGATAGTTATTTTCAGTCATAGACTTATATGAGGCTCTAGGTTTTTACAGCTTTCAAGAAGGTCAACAATGTCAAGGCCATCCAATCTCAAGGAGGGCCTATTCCACAGAGGAGCTGCAACAAAGAAGGAATGTTGTCATCTTGTTGCTACAAGATGACACTGTTTCACTGAGGGAATCTGGAATATAACCACTCTTCCTAGTGTGGGTGGGATTACAGAAATGATTGGAAATAAAGTCCCATGTCTGGTAGGGATTTAGAAGTGATAATCAGCCTTTTGAAATGTAGCTGGAAATCTCATTGGAAGCTAGTGTGGCTGGCACGGTAGAGGTGCTAATTTGCCAAACCTCAGTGCACCCTGTACTATCTGCTGCTGCATTTTGGACCAGTTGAAGCTTCTGAGCCTTTTAAAGGGCAGCCCTGTATAAATATTGCTAATAATCCAGGCAGGAAGTGTCATAAGGCATGAATGATAAGCAGAGCCTGCATGTGGGATAGATCTGTGCAAAGGCTGTCCTAGCCACAGCTTTAATTTACTCCTTGAACAATAGTTACGGATTTAGGAAGATCCCCAGATTGCACACCAGATCTATATGAGGGAGTGCTATCACTGGAATGGCTACAGAAACAGTCCCAAAACTCAGAGACACATTCAGTTTTACTAGAATTGAGAAATATCTATTCAAGAATATCCAATCCACAAGCACCTTTAAATCCTTGTACGTCATCACTTATACAGGTACCTCTTGAGACCACAAATGGAACTAGCAATTCAATAAATAAACAAAGCAGTCACTATTTGAAACTGCAACTGTTCTTATGATGAAACTTCAGCTTTCCTTTGCTTTACAGTCCTGTGAAGGTTTGTAATTGTGAGGATTGGTTGCAGTTATTTTTTTCATCACTATTGAATTGCAAACATTTGCTAAAGTACCTGTACAGCTCTTGGCAGAGTTAGGGAGTACAGCTGGGATATTGCCAGCACATTATTCTGGCTTTTCTCTGTAGGAAACATAGTTGACATTTGAAAGGCACACTAAGGACATGCACATAGAATTCTAGCTGCTCTTCAGTTAACCATTCAGTGGTCATTCAAAATTATGATACTTAACATCAGTTCTCAAACTTCTAGTTGTCTTAGCAGCCCTGCAGTCGTATGATCATGATTTGGGTATTTGGCAACCAGGTTGCACTTAATAATAATTGCAACATCCTATATCATGCAACCCTCCCTGCTGGCTTGCCAGAAGCAAATTCAATAGGAAGCTGGGAAGTCATTCATGTAAGTTGCTTGTATTCTGATAGCTTTTTCCCTCCAAGGAGCCTGGCTATGGCACCCACAATATCCATCAACTTGAGGTGGTCACTTGCACACATATTCTCCCATGGACAGCAGCTACCCATACTCTATTCATGTCTCAGCAGTCACTTGGCACACTTTTCCCCACCATGCAGCAGCCACCTCCAACCTTTTTCATCACTTACTCACACACTCTTCCCTATCTGACAACAATCAACCCCACTATATTCTTCTGTTCCTCAACAGCCAGTCCTATATCTGGAAACACCCACTCCTGGGCTTGTGCAAGAGGGTAAATCAGACACTCACACACCCTTTCCCACCTAACAGCATCCACTCCTGCTGTGCTTTCATTGGACCTTGAGAATAATATGTACATTTGGCAGCAACCATTGCACTTTACCACACCTTCATAATCATATGTTCATACTCCTCTGGCTGGCTGTGCCATGTCAGGCCATACTTTGACAGCCACCTGCACATTCTCATGCATACTCGCCCACCTAACAGCAGTTACTTACTGTCAAGCAATTTGTCAGCCACCTGGGACTTGAAAGTTCCTGTCAGCTTCCCCCTCTTGGCTTGGCCTGTTGGAACCTGGTTTGCTAGAAATTAGGAGGTCCTTGTTTAACAATGGCAACAGGGAGTGCCAGGATTGCTGTCACTAAACAATGTAGTCATAATGTGACATTGTGCTTTACAATGACATCATTTAGCCACTGAGGTTAAAGTTAACAATTCCAATTGCTATTGCTAAGTGAGGACTACCTTCTCTTGATGAGAAAGAGATTGCAAGTGAGTAAAGAAACACACGATGGGGAATACTTGAGAGGAAGGTGTTAGCTCTGGCTGTTTGCTTAGTGTGCTCTCTACTGCCTCTTAGGAAGCAAAGATAGCCTTCCCTCTGGAACTGATTAAGATCTGGTCACTTTCACATAGTTGCACAAGCTACCAGGTTTTACAGGTAGTTCTCACTTATAAACTAACTGGAATTGGCAACTCCCTTGTTAAGTGAAAGTGTCACTAAATAAGAAATGACCACAACCATTTTCTGATTGGAAAAAGATAAGACTAATCAGTTTCAGATTTTATTTGCCTCCTAATCATTTTCCCACTCTTTGAATGCAGGAGTGCCTGCTTACCAACTTGTACACATCAAAAGCAATATGATCACACTGGTAGCCAAGTCTGCTATGCGAATGGCTTAAAATACATTCGTGATCCCTCTCCAATCATTGCTCTACAAGGTGCATGGTTGAAGCAAGTGATTTCTCTAATTGGCCTTTTCCTGCTGGTGGTGCAATTGCATTGCTTTCTGTGTGTAGAAAAGCAAATAGCTTACTCTTCCAATTTGTTTCTCTCCAATCTCTTCTTTGAAAGGGATTAAAAAAAACCAAGCAGGTACAGGACAGCATGTACTACTACTAGTAACCACATGACTGAGGGACACTGGGAAGGCTGTAAATGTTTGTAAATAGCCATCAGATTAATTTTCAGCACATTATAACTTCAAACTGTTACTGAACAAATGATCAGTAAATTAGGACTAATTTAGTTAGGACAACTAATTAATATTGAAAAAGCTAGCATTTTGGTTTTAAACCATAACAAACATAAATGATACATTAAATTGTAAATAAAATAACATAATTTTTATTTTTATTTAATTTCTATAGGGATGAGGATGCTCCTGCTAAAATTCCAGATGAAGATGCTGTGAAGCCAGAAGGTTGGTTGGATGATGAGCCAGAATATGTAGCTGATCCTGATGCAGAAAAACCAGAGGATTGGTAAGTTAACACTGATCTCACAATATATTTAGCTTTAGGCTATGGTCCTAACTATACTCATGCAGTGGTCATAATTGTGAGGACTAGTCATAAGTCAGTGCTGTTGTAACTTTGAACAGTCACTAAAGGAATGGCTGTAAGGTAAGACTACATGTACACACAAGTTTATAAGAAAATTGAAGAGTAACAAGTGATGTTTTAAAATGGCCAAATCAAAGTCAGCAAATGTCAGGAATTTTGTTCCATGTTGGAGCAATTTACCAGGACAAATGGATCAAAACTAGTACATAACAAAATGAATGACTGAAAGCTGATTTGCAAATAGTTACTAAACAGAGTAACAGAGTTGGAAGGGACCTTTGAGGCTATTTAGTCCAATCCCTTCAAGTAGGAGACAACTATTTTTTCATACTCAAAGATCATATTATGGATGATTTAGTTTGTGAAATAAATCAAGCAAACACCTAAGTTACTTGTTAACAGATTTTCTCTATTTCAATAGGAGCCATGAGGTTCTGGTAATAGTAACAGATACACAAGACTGAAAAGGGCAAATGCTTTCTCATAGCATAGGTCAATATGAATTGAATTTCAACTGTATAGCATAGCACAAAGTTTCTCTCTGATCATATGTCAATAAAGGGAAGCAGTCCATATAGTACTACTAAATTATTTTACATGATAATTTTTCAGTGATTATGAATATTATGCTAACCTAAATAAAATTCTAATATTTCAACACTGTAATTTATACTATATTTTTATATTGGATTAATATGTATAACTTTAATTGCTATTGATTGTTTCTCTCACATGCACATACTCTGCATTTATGAGAAAGAGATAGTCCTAAAGCCAGAGATTCATGTTTCAGGGATGAAGATATGGATGGAGAGTGGGAGGCACCCCAGATTGCAAATCCTAAATGTGAATCAGCTCCTGGCTGTGGTACCTGGCAACGACCCACAATTGACAATCCAAACTATAAAGGCAAATGGAAGCCTACTATGATTGACAACCCCAACTATCAGGTATATTATTTTAAAAATCTGTTAAGAAATATTTATGTATTATTTAAATCAATGTTAAATTAGGTATATTGTCAGGTCATTATGCAGAACTAAATTATAACACTTTTTGAAATACAGTTGGGTGAGAATAAGCTTGTGAATTTACATTTACATCAGCCCTGGGCATTGTATGGTCCACAGGCCACATCCAGCCCTTTGTCTATCTGTATCTGGCCTGCAGTGATGCCATGCGCTGCAATAGCAACCCTTTTCATTTGGCCCTTCAAAACAGTCCAAGTTCACCCCTTCAGAAAATTTTACATGAAAAAGCAGAAATAGTCTTGTGGCACCTACTATAGCATAAATTTACATGACTATTTCATCCAATCCACAAGATTGTGATGCTACAGAGAATAATTTTAAGTACCTCTATAGAAGCTGCCTTATATGGCAGTAGACTATAACTTATATTTTGTCAATGTCTGCTCAGGCAATGTCTCCCCCAAGATCACTACAGTGTTTTTACAGCCTTCTTCATAATATTTTAATTGGATATTAAGATTTCTATTAATCTGTTCAGTTCAGGAATGTTTGAAGTGTTAATTAAAATGTCTGAGTTATTAAAACTTACAGAATTAATTCAGCGATGTCTGTGCATTATTAGGGCATCTGGAAGCCGAGGAAGATTCCAAACCCAGACTTCTTTGAAGACTTACAGCCATTCAAAATGACCCCCTTTAATGCTGTGGGACTTGAATTGTGGTCTATGACTTCAGATATATTCTTTGATAATTTCATCATCTGTACTGAGCGAGCAGTAGCAGATGATTGGGGTAATGATGGATGGGGCCTGAAGAAGGCAGCTGATGGTGCTGCTGAGGTGAGAAAGAAAAGTTTAATTTTTTTCTAATCGTGCAGCATAAAATAGAATTCAGAAATTCTTATTTTTTCTTTTCAATTAAACAGATTGATTTGTATTTTCTCTTTGAGGAAAGAGAAACAAAACTATTTGTGGCAAATAGCAGCATAGTATTCAGTTTATTCATGATGTTGGTCAGGTGTTGTTAGTTGGAATGTGCTAACTCATTTTCATTTTTCTTTATTTTTTAATGACTAGGTTTTTTAAAGATTTGTAGCCTTAGATAAAGTACTAGTTTAATACCAGATATTAGGATCAAAAATATTTTCTCCAAACTTAAGGCTGAAGAAAGCTGTAGCCTATCAGGTGAAACCTGCTAGTCTATTGGCCAATTGATTCAACTGGCTGTGAAAAACTATTGTTAGCAGTAGCTTTACAGATCTTCAGATCTGATTTCTTCAGTCAGGGTGCTCTAGCATTCTTTTCATTAAGTAATTTCAAGAAACTCTAAATGGTGAGATAACTCTCAGATATGCACTCTTAATCTTCTTGAAAAACCCATAGATTGCTCTCATAGAATATATTAGTTACAACAGTGCTGAAACTGTTGCAGTAATTAATATTTGGAAATGTTAGTAGTTAAGAGATTTAGAAATTACCTTAATCATCTTAAATACTTAATACACTTTAAAACTGCATAAATAGGGTTAGGGTTCTATAAATAATTAATAGGACTTAAAGTAACTTAATGTCACTTAAATATTTGAGTACTGTGCTATAAAAATTGTAAGTATGTGTTAATAATTTGACAGACTTATATCTCTGGCAACTATATTGTTTACTATACCAAATGCATATGCATATATTTAGATTTAAATTTATCTTGTAGCCTGGTGTTGTGACTCAAATGATGGCTGCTGCTGAAGAACGTCCCTGGCTTTGGATAGTATATATCTTGACAGTGGCTCTGCCTGTTTTTCTCGTCGTTCTTTTCTGCTGCTCTGGAAAGGTATGTACGGATATAGCTGATTTTAAACATTTTGTTTGATAAATTGAGAAAGAAAACAGACCATTTTAGGAGAGCTGAACCTGAAAACCCCTTCAACATCTTATTTCAGACAAAACAGCCAAGTGCTGCAGAGTACAAAAAGACAGATGCTCCTCAACCAGATGTAAATGAAGAAGAGAAGTTGGAGGAGAAAGAAAAAGAAGAAGAGGAGGAGGAAGAAGAAGAGGAAGAGGAAGAATCAAATGAAAAAAAGCCTGGTAAGTAAAAGTGTCCCAAGCTCAGAAATGACTAACTGTTTTGGAAAATTGCCCATCTTCAAAAAAAAAAAAATCTCTTGATTTCTGAGAAAGGGAAGATGAATGTTGCAGTACAGCAAAAGTTCATTTTTAATATATCAGTTGGGGGAAGAAGGTATTGATTGTTCCCAGTTGTCTGTTATATCATCCATGGTATTGTTATTACCCATATTCACATAAATGACATAAAATTATATAAAGACGTCAGGAATTTTGTCTGTTGCATTGAAGTCTGCAAAACTGACACTTCTATCAGTTTTGGTACTAAAAAATTAGGTACTAAAATATTAGTACCTTGTAAAACTTTTTTTAGAAGAGAAGGCCGGGAATGATGGAAATACAGAAAATGTGAGCCAAGAGGAGGAAGCAGAAGAGGAAGAGGAAGAGATAGAGATGGAAGAGGAAGAAGAAAGCAGAGACATTACAGAGGCAAGTATTTAATTACATAAACTTTGTATGAGACAAATGAGATATTATGCCATTAGTATATTTAATGAGTCTATCTTACAACTCATTGCCTCTTACAACTTTTCCATGGGAATCAATAGAGAACAAAAAGTATGCTACAATGAAACAGTAAATATTTATGTACTAACATCACATGTTTGGATGCAAATCCATTAAGGCAAATGAGCACTTGTTATTTTTCCCCCCAACACTGTGTCTAACTGCAGGGTTTGAGTCCGTATATGCATTATAAATATATTCAACTGCTTGGTATCCAATTCTACAAAATTCTGAAAGCCAACAACGCCATTATTATTTTTTTAATTGAATTTAGCTGCTTTGTCAAATGATTCTGGGTGGCTTACAAAGAATTAAAAACAAACCATTACAGAGAGAAAAATAATGAAAGTATACAGCACATACACCAACCCTCCCCGTGTGCCCCCCCCCCCCCAAATGTGTGTAAAATGCAACTTCATATTGGATAGTTTTATCCAATAAAACCTTTGCCAATGCCTAAGGGAAAACCCAAGTTGGGAACTCAGGTGGTGGGAAGATACTTTTCAAAGAGCAAGTGCAGCAGAGAAGGCAGGTCTTCTTGGGTCTTACAAGATGACATAGGCTGGCTGGCTGGCTGGCTTATTTACTTACTGATTTATTATACTAGTTTCTGTAATTTGCAGACAACCGTGGATTAAATGTTATCTCTGTTCTAAAGTTGATAATTCTAAAAGAAAATATAGAAACAAACAGCAGAAAAAGACCCAGTGGTCCATCGAGTCTGCCCTTTGCTTTTTGGGTTGTTTGTTTTGATTTTAATTTATTATTTATTGTTTTTATTTTTATTTTTGTTGGATGATAGACATATGTTTATCTCAGACATGTTTAAAATCAGTTACTAAAGATTGACCCACTACCTCCTCTGGAAGTTGGTTACAAGCTTCCACTACACTTTCTGTGTAGTAATACTTTCTAACATTATTTTTGAACTTCCCTCCTGTCAGTTTGAGATTATGCCTCTGTGTTCTTGATTTTTGCTTAATATTGAAAATATTGTATTCTAGAACCTTATTGATACCCTTAATATATTTAAATATTTCAATCATCTCTTCCCCTTTCCATTCTGTGCTTCAGGCTGTACATATTACCTGCAATCTGTCTTGATAACGTTTTGTCCCTCAGAGTTTGCACTATTTTTATTGTCCCTTTCTGGACTTGTTCAGTCTTCTATCTTTTTCTAAGTTAGGTCTTGAGAACTGGACATAATATTCCAAATGGGGACGGACTAAAGCCTTATATAGTAGGATTAGGGCCTCCTTCTTCATTCTGGTGATCCTCTAACGATACATCCCAGAATTTTGTTTGCCTTTACAGTTGTCTGGCCACACTGTTTACTCATTTTTCAGACATCTATAAGTACACCTAAATGTTTTTCTTCTGTTGTTCTAACACTGTACCCCAATACTATATCTGCTAGAGGATTCTTTTTCCCCAATTTCATGATTTTATCTTTAGAAACACTGAGCTAGAGTTTCCACATTTTTTTACCAGTTTTCCAGTAATGCCAAATCATTTTCCATGTTACGAAGAACATCAATTCTATTATATGACTTCTTGTCATCAGCAAAATGAACAAACTTACCAAACATTTACCAAACATTCACTTACAAACATTTTGAACGGAATGGGACCTAGGACTGAGCTTTGTGGCACACTCTGTGTGACTGGTTTCTGTTCAGACAGTGCCCCATTAGCAGTCACACACCGGGACCTAATCCGGGTGAACTTCCTATCCACTGAACCACCCAGTGGTTAAGCCATAACCTGTACAACTTTTTAATGAGCTCATTACATGAAGTTGTCGCAAATCACAGTAGTAATTCAACTTTGTTACCTTTCCTAACTTTTAACTTCCTACTAATCTTCACAAAATTTTATTTATAGCAACTTTTTCCAGTTAGTAATATTTCAAAATGAAGTTACATATAACTATACAAAATATTAGAAGATTATTCTAACATTGAACACTTACCAACTGCAATCTGATATATTCATGGAGTTCATTCTCATATGAGCATTATTTGATATTTTTTGAAGTATACATTGTTGACACTAATGTCAGATGTTAAAAATATTAAATCTTAAGGTTTTGTAGTGCCATTTACAAAAATAACCCTGAACTTCTGTTATCCTTTATATTAGAGTTGAAACATTTTATTGTTTTAATATTGAAAGAAATAAGCATGTGGGGTAATAGTTAAATTTGATTGACAGCTAAAAAGTCAGGCTTAGGGTTTTAAGAAGTAGCTTGTCTCTATTCAGTAGTGCTAACAATTGTTAAAACAAAGTAAACAACATTTACTGATGTACATTACTCCTGAGATCTCAATAAATTATCTTTGAAAATATCTGCTTATTACTTTTAAAGTTAAATATCTGAATGAAGCTGGATTATTTATATGTTTTTTTTATTTGCAGGAGGAAGAAACTGTGAATAGGTCTCCCAGAAATAGAAAACCAAGAAGAGAATGAAATATCCTAAAAACTTAATCTGATGAGTTTTTCTGATATGGTTTTGGGAGAGGACCATGGATACCTTTTTGCTGAAAATAAAAAATCTTCAAAATTCACCATCCATAGGTTCCTGTCAAATACTCTGCAGTGAAAAGTGTTTAGCAGTCAAATATTTGCAATTGTGTTTCTAAATAATATTCCTGTAGAAAAAGAATGTGTTTAACACAACCCAGCTATGAATTTCTGGAATGTTACAAAAACTAACATTTTTATTTTGTTTTTAAATAGATGATAGAATTACCAGTCTCAAAACTTTTGGCTTAAATTAATGTATTAATCTATCAATGGGAGTGAAGAGCAACCCTTAAGAAAAATACAAGATGTAAAGTTTTTATAAGTCTTTTCTTTCTTACAAAGATGGAAATTCTTATACAACTCTTATTTCTCATAGTATGATCATGTTAAATGTAGGATAAAGTTAAAATTCATTTGAAGCAATCTTCAAGTGCTCAAACTTTCTTATTAATGAAAAACATGTGGCCATGAAATACTCAGATTGGTCACAGATAGAGCTCAGTTAAAACAATGTTTGCACTAGTCTGAATTTAGGAGCAGATTTTAGTGAGACTGGATTGCCTTGTTCGTTTAGATTTTGAACTTTTTCTCAATTTGGAATTTGCTTTCAGTTTTTGTGTTTTTTCCCCCTCGCCCAGTTTTTTAAAAATGTCCTTCTGTTCCAGCTGTTGCTTCTCCTGTACTGTTTTTTCAGATGTAGCTTAGCTGCTAGAGAATACACTTGTTTATCTCACTGTTAAAATTGTGTTTCTTCTTCTCAGAAGGTAGCACTACTTATTTCTGGGTCCAAACATTGTGAAACAGGACAGTGTTGCTCACCTTCTTATTGTTGCCATCTTATGTACATTTATGCACAGGATAAAAGGCACAGGCAAGCTGATCTTTCAAGTTTTATTTGTGCTGAAAGCAAATGTCAGTATTTGTGGCTGAGGAATAAGCATGTGAAAACTTGGCATATGTAACATTGAATGTCAGTGCTCTTCATGTATCAAAATGTTGTGAATCTAGGGGGTTCCAGATGAATAAATTTTTAAAAACTATGTTGCATTGAGTATCTAGCTATTCAGAAATCTTATGTAGAATACAGAGTGTTTACTTAAGAATAGCATAATCCTCTATATTGAAGTGCATGATGGAGGAAAGCGAAGAAGAAATATTTTGCCACCTGTTCTTTATTTAAATATATGGCACTGAATTAAAACACTCCCAGTTTCTACTTGGTGGGTAAGAATTTTTCACAGTAACTAAGATTTTGTACTTTGGTTCAGATATAATTATATACATAGCTTTTTCAAAACAAAACTAAAAATTGTTTTTCAGGTAATTTTGCAGAACCCTCAGTTCTGTTATCTTTCCAAAACAGCAGAATTATCCTCATTTGAAGCTACAGTGCTTGCAGCCTTTGACTTGTATTCCAACATCATTCCTTGCACATCTATAGTAGTTGTGCAGGAGTTTTTATTTTTCTCCTTGTGTCCTTTATAAAGAGAGCTTTATAAACTCGGCATCCATTCCACTGGTAGATTCAATTTAATACAATCAGTGGCTTACTTCCATAGTTTGTTTCTGTTGTCTAGTCAGGATGTTTAAATGAAATTATTCCCCCTAGTTTCTTCTGTTTTTTTCTACATCATTGAATTGCAGTGGCTATTTAATACTAGTACTAATTTTAATGTGCTTGGGTTAAATGTTTTTTGATCAACGTCTTCACTTTTTGTGAAACATATATTCCTTTCTCCAGGATACTGGGAAGAATGAATGCATAAGACCTCTTCAGAATACTCCTTTGTTTGCATGATTTAGTCTTTTTTCATGTTAGTGAAAATGTACTTTTTTAAATGCCCAGTGTAACCTGTGAAGCCTTATTAAGACTACTTAGTATTGGGAAAAGATTGTCATCTGCTATTTAAGAATAATAAAGCAAAAAATTAATATAAGTCATTTATAATTTCCAAGTAATTTGGCGTGCTGAATTGGTAACTTAATGGATGATTTTTAAAAGACTATGGAAAACCATTCCAATGTAGGAAATAATTTTCACACTGACATAGTTGAACTTTTTGTTGGAAATAAATAGACTTATAATAAACTTTTAGGAAATGTTCTAAAGACTTTTAGAATGAATAAGATATTTGACTACTTTTGTTTGGAAAAGAAAGTGCATTGTAGCCATTTCAAATCAGTCACAGTTCATATGCAACATACGAAGATATAGATGCTTTTAAAAAAATAAAGATCTTAACTATAAATGTGTGTTCTCTCTTAGGATACTTGTCCCATTTCATATGGGGATGTTATAGTTGACAGGAGAGCTGAACACTATTAACCATAAATGGCAAAGGATATCCTAGGTCTCCATAATGTGGCCCCAGCTCCCCTGTGACGCTAAATATGGTGCTAAGAATACATTTCTTTGCACCTCTTTGCCTTCTCTATTATAATTTTCTAAATACCAGTATTGTTTGATGCAGGGTTCAAGTGTTGGTAAACAAGATTGTGACAAGTCCTGACTGTTGTAAAAATCCGAAGATGCAGTATGCATATAAATATATTGGTTAAGTTATAAACAAATGTAAGCTTACTTGATCAATAAAGAAGCATAGATCACTATCTTTCTACTGTCTAGTCTGCAATATTTTGGGGGGTTGGCTTTCATAATCTAAAGACAGAAGAATTGATAGATCTTCCTTCAAAACTATTACTACTATGTTGTGGAAAAACTGAACAATATCCAAATGCAAAGTAATTAAATTGTTTGCATTGCATTTTAAATGTCCTACTGAGATTATTTTGAATCAGGATTGTTTAAAAGGTATGAATATATTGAGGTATTGGTTTCAGAGTTAGCATCTTGCTTTTAGAAATCTGAGCTCATGAAATGTGTTAATCTTTCTGAGATGTTCAAAGTGCACAAGTTCATATCACTGTTTATAACCCTGTTCTAGTATAATATGCACAATTTCAATATGAAAATTGACCACCATAGAAAATATTTTAATTATTGATACATAGTTAATACACATTTGATTTACACAGCACATATTTCTAAGATATGAGCTATTAATTATAGAAGAAATGGGATTATTATGAGTAGCCTTTCTTACGTTTTAAACTTTCTGCTACCGGTAATTATAAATTTGCTTCTTGGATTATTTATGACTTCAAAATTATGCTGTGATAGCTTGGCGCAAGTTTGTATGCCAAAATAATTCTATTTATTTGGAATATTTTTATGACATAAAATAGTCTTTATTGCAGAAATGTTATGAAATGTCCCAAGAATGTGGCCTTAAAACTTTAAAAAGTTGTTTGTATGTTAAATATGTAATATACTTTTCCTTAAGGTAACGAATACCAATCTGCTGGCAATAAATTGCTTCATTTGATCCAATAAATTGTTGGATTCATTCTTTTTCCAGCATTAGCTTTAAACACACAAATGTTCACCAAATATATTGTAACATAAATAACAAGTAATATGCTTAAACTATAAACAAGCCTAAAACTTATCAGCAATTTAAAAAGCATAAATTATAGATATGCTGGAAGTTACATAAACTACCTGTTCAAGAGTTACTTCCACTAAGTATGTTTAAAATCTGGTCAATATCTGCAAATGCTTACACATTCCAAATACACGTTTGGGCTTTTTTCTCCAAACATCTAAGAGTTTGCATTCTGACCTGATCAAATTTCTTGCTGGTAGCTGGTTTTTGAGGGTGTTGGGTCCATGTACTTGAGCCCTCTGAGCGGAACTGCACCATCAAGCAAGAGGAAAAGAAACCGTTTTGAGTGTTTTCGTGCTTTCCAATTAGAGGTGAAAACCTTTCTCCTTCAGTTAGCATTTATGTTATCCCGTGGGTTAATCTAAGACTATTCTCAACGCCCAGGATTGTTGAGAGTTGGGCGGCACTTAAATTATTATTGTCAGGGGAAAGTGTTACTATATTACATAAACAGGAGATTAGTACCCGTAAAAATTTATGGATTTTAAGAAGACCCAAACTTATGTTATTCTTTCACACTATGTGAATCGTTAGTCCGGCAAAGAAAACTTAAATCAGTGCATACTGAATACATGAAATAATTCACTTAAAATGGCAGTTGTCCTTAAGTTAAAGGAAAGGCTGGTGAGAATTCAAACTCTTGGTTCGGCCTTTATTTGCTCATTTGCATATTTTCAATGTAAATCCCAGTATTTACTTTTATGTATTGCTACACTTATTGCCTAATACGTATGCGAGGGGCAGGCCTATTAAGTTTCAGCTATCCCAGCACAAACTGCATACGAGGACATTTCCTGTCAATCATAAAGTTCCGCCCCTTCTATTTTTCCGGAAAGGTCGTAAGAAAGGGGGGGGAGAGAAACGGAAAGGGAAATCCCCTCCCCCAGCTTCCCCCCCTCCCTTTTCTTTTCCGTTTTCATCTCCGATTGGCTCTTTGAGCAGTCTGTTAACGCCTACTGCCAGTGAGTGTGTGCGCCGTGACGTCTGCCACTACCTAGGAAAGTCCACCCGCTTCGGACTGGGCAGGCTTCCCAAGTGGGGGAGAAAAGGGGTAAAACAATTTCAAGATGGCGGCGGCTGAGGCGCGGATAACAATGGGAAACGGGAGGTTTGGGTGGCTCTGGGCCTGAGCTAGCTTGGGGCAGGGGATTGATATCGCCGGGCCTGCATCGGGGAGGCGGGCTCGGTGGGGTCGGGCGGCAGTGGGGCGCCCACGCCTGGGAAAGGTAGTGGTGACGGCAGAAGAAGAGGGAGAATTGGGCTCCGAAGTGCCCGGTGTCCCTCGCCACCAGCTATGGCGGAGTGAAGAGCCGGCTGCTCCCGGCGCTCTGCTTTTTTCCGCTCGCGGCTCATGGTTCTGCCCCCTTGCCCCATGGCGGAGTTCGTGGTGTCGCAGCACAGCGCGGTGATGGAGCGGCTCCGTCGGCGCATCGAGCTTTGCCGGCGACATCACAGTGCCTGCGAGTCCCGCTACCAGGCCGTGTCCCCGGAGCGCCTGGACCTGGAGCGCCAGCAGACCTTCGCCCTTCACCAACGCTGCTTGCAGGCTAAGGCCAAGCGAGCGGGGAAGCACCGCCAGCCGCCCCTTCCTCCCCCCACTGCGCCACCTCCGACGGCTCCTTCGCATCCGCCTTCCTCTGCCCAGGCCCCGGGGGCCGGGGGCTCTGCGTCTACCTCCACTTCTTCCGACAGGCCTGGAGTCAACGGCCTGGATGGTGACACCGCGGGCGGTGAACAGCAACAGCACGGTCGTAGCAGCGCTCTCATCGCGGTAAGATCCAGATGTCGGGGCCAGGGGTTTGTTTTAGCTCTCAGACACCCCATCCTCCCTTAAAATAAATGGTGTATTTGGACTTAGGCGGGTTCTTGTTTGTCAAAATATTAGCATACTTTAGAAAAGTTGCGAAACTTTTACAGTGGAAAAGATTTACACTCCCGTGTCTGTGGTTTTTTTCTTCATTTTAAATTTCAGAACTAGCAGTAACATTGTTCCCATATTCCACTCTCTTACCCCTTTGTAGGGAAAGATAATTTAATCACTGTTTGTGCTTGTTTTACCTATGCATATTATCTCTTCACTTTGCTGCTTCAAGCAGTTTTAAAATGGCCCTTGAGATCTTTTAAGAACTTGAAAAATAAACGAAGTAAACATTTGTAGTATTCTACTTATATAAAATTAAACTGAAGCAGATTTATTTTATATAAAGCTGCAAATGGGTGTATTTGCTTTATACATGAATGCAGCATAAGTAGATAACCTCTGTAAGAAGGCAGTTGAATATATATAGTCAGAATTAAGGTGCTTGAAGCTCTGTTCATAGGTATTGTGGGATGCCTTTTTATGGAGTTGTAACAGCAAATAATGCATAATGGCTTTATTTTCTTCACTTAAGTTCAAATCTTTCCTCAAGGATCCCAAAGTGATTCACCTGGGGTTATTTTGGTTTATTTTTAGGACAATATGAACAGTAGGTTTGCCTTAATTGTATCTGCCGGAAGGCCACTCAGTGACAAATTATTTGAACCTCTTTTTTTTTTTTTTTTGCACTAGATAGGCTACAAAGTAGGATATATATTACTAGAATCTTTAGAATATAAATGGAAAACAAATGGAATCTCTATGCAGGATTTTCAGGGAAATCTAGTTTCCTTCTTATAGTGTTCTAAACAAATATTTCTATAATATTTTGTAGGAGTAATTGATAAGGCTGTTTATGCCTATTTTTCTCCTAAACTAGGATTTAAAGATGTGTTTGAATTCTTCTGCATCAGCATATATTTATTAACTTTTTTCTGAGTTGCTAGAGGAGCAGCGCTATATAATCCGAAACAGTTAGGGAGGATTGGTTATCTACAGCAACAATACAATTGTATTGTTATCTCAGACAATATACTTGTTTATATTCCATTTTCTTTTTGAACTATTTACCTTTGAGTTAGGTATACTAGAAATCTAGCAAGTTCTATGGGTTTTTAAAAAATTTTTACAAGAACAAATTATAAAATAATGGTGTTTTAGATACTTAGATGTTCTAACTAAAAATTCATGTGGCAGTGCTTCAGGATCCAAGTCTTCAGCATTTTTTCTAGATGAACACTTAAAGTTTAATATCCATAAATATTGGAGTTAGAATATCCAGGCATTTTATTGATCAATATTTTCTCTAAATTTAATCAAATTTATTTTGGTATTGGAGGACTCACGTAACTTCTGTACTGTATTAATATCACAACTCAGATAATTCAGAATACACTGGAAAAGTGGGATGCTGCTAATTTGTTAAAAATGGATTACAAGTAAAATCCTGTATTCTTCCTGTCAGAATTGAAGGAAATATGTAGGTAAAGTGGAAATGAGCTGGAATAGCTGTCTGTGCTTTTAAAGTATGTAAAATTATCTTTATGTTCCTAACAAAATAGGGGGGAAAAGTTTCCTCTGTCATTTTAAATTGTGGTCTTTTCACATGATAATAATCAGAAGTTGTTTGATATATTAGTAATTTCTTTGTTTAGAAAGTGGTTGGTCAGAGACAGGTCACAATCCAAATGATTGGTCGCATTAATTTTTATTTGTCAGTAAAAGTCATATGGAGTGTCTGTGATCTTTTACTGGCTTGATCAGCTTTTTTCAATGATAGCTTTCTGAATCGTTTATATTTTATTGTTGCTTAAAATAGGAAAGCAAAACAAAATGTAGCAATACATTTTATAAAGTTAATGTAAGATAATCAGTGTTAAATAGACTAGTCATACCTTCAGAGAAAAAACAACTCTTATCTGGGTTCCTTTAACTGAGATTCATGCATTGAGTAGATTGTTACATTCAGTGGCTTAATGGCCCCTTCCAACCCTATAATTCTACAATCTACATTGGAACAAGCAGACCTGTCTAGTTCAGCTATTCTGTGTCACACAATGACCTACCAAATTTATTCAGGAAAGTTTTTTTCTATATTTTTATCTCTAACTCTACATAAATAGATGATAGATAGATTATTTACAGATGATTTGTTTTAATGTAGTTTGAGAATGCTATGTCCTTCAATACTAAAGTTTAGGCTATGAGTAATATTACATATCAGTGTTATTTCATTCATTTTC